CCCCATGTGGCTGGGTTGAGGCCTGGCCTGGTTTGAGCCATTGCTGCATGACTGGATCAGAGCAACCCCTATGCAGCCAGGTCAGATAGGCTGACTCCCCCAGCACAGTGAGAATAGACCCGAGTCATTGACACTTGCCATATCAGGCCCCCACCATAGCCATTCTGTGTGTTAGATCAGGCCCACTGGCCAGATCTGTCCTGCAGATAGACCTGGCACCACCTATCTGGGCCATAGGGTGAAAAAGTTGGGCATCCCTGGGCTAGAGGAATTGGCTTGGTAACAACCGAGCCTTGGAAAAGTCAGTGTGTGAGGGCAGAACTAGGATTGACAGGGCAAAAAAACTGAGAAAAGGAGCCAGGGACAGGTGAAAAATATTGGAGGAAGACTGGGATTGAGGTCAGTGGGGATGAAGAATATGAAAACACGATGTGATATGAGACCAGGGTTGGGGAGAGAGACACAGGAATGAGGAGACATAGTAGAAAACTGGGATTGGCTACTGGGATTGGTTTGCCAAGATTGCAGGTACAAGGTGTCCAGAGGGATCAGACTAGGCATAAAGACTAGCACTAGGATGAACTGCCTAAGTATTAGAGATAGGAAGTGGCTTGAAACAAAGAGCAGGACTGGAAGTCAATGAGAGTTGTGATCTGAACACAAAATGCTATGTAATGCTGAATACACATACTTTGAAAAATCAGGTTCTTCTTGCTTCAGATTGGGTGCTCAACATTTTTACATTTGACCTTAATCTCTTGGTAACTCAATTCCTGTACAATAAAGTAGATGGTATAACACCTCTTTGCTTTACAGTGGCTTTGTAAAATAAATTAATTAATGTTTATAAAGCAATCTGATACTTTTGTGATGCAAGCCATAGAAAAGTCCAAGAAGAAATTAATAATTCTATCATTAGAGCAAGATGTTAATAATGTGCAGTACAATAAGGTAAGGAGCAGCAAAGTCAGCAATGAGGCTAAAACAAAGAATTGAATAGTTCTTCATCTCATTGCCTCCACTCTGAACTAACTGAAGCAGAGGTCCTGTGGAAAAATAGGATGTTATCATGTCAATATCACAGAATAAAGTAGAATATCTCAGAATAAAGTAAGATCTTCTCTTGAAATACCAGTAAGGATAGTATTTTTGCAGGGAAAACACAGGCAGCTGCAGTAGGGAGGAAGTAGGCAGCCAACAACACATACAGATGCAGCTGAGGACCCACCCCACTTGAACAGAGGGGCTGGGCAGCTCAGTGCAGGCAGCTGCACCTGCCACATCAGCTGAGGGCCCAGTCTTGCTGGAACTGAACTGCCCACCCTGTCTACTCTGGCCAAGTGAGCGCTCAGCTGACTCCACAGGATCAAGCCCTGAGCTTCCCTCATTTTCTCATTTGAGACATGCATCCCAGATGCTAATTTTTTTTTTTTTT